ATGTGTCACAGTAATCTGTGCATTTAGCATAGGAAACTGAGAGCTCCCAGCAGTCTGATTTGTGTACCACTAGATTTTGCCATTTAACAATGAGTTAGCATGCATATTGTTTTGGCGCCCCCTGGTGTCACAAATGGCAGTTACATGACATTAGTTAGTGCACAAATAACATCCACTATTTCCTGTTTTCTGTTTACGTTCATTCTCCTGTATGCCATTCCCTCCAATCGCTCTCTGTTTTTACTTTTATTGTCAAATAAAAGCTGAAAATTAAAATAAAAAGTAAAAACAAACAAATAAGTATTACATTGCAATACATTAAAGCATTAAATTAAATGTCAAAAATTAGTTTTTGATAATATCCCAGACAAATATATGTACATGTTTATATATTTGGATGCTACATGTAGAGACAGTATGGGTTTACAAATGTAAAAAGAAAAAAAAGGTAAGGAAAAAGATAATTATGTTCATTGCAGATAAATCAACATATTTACAGTGGCAAGGGTTTTTGTACAAATGTGTTTTTGTTCTGTGTAGGTGAACCTGTTGATCCCGATCAGCTACCTGATCTTCTGGGCTGTGCTGCTGGGCTTCAGCCTGTACTCTGAACCAGTGGTTTGTGGCCTGGGTATGGTTATCATGTTGACTGGAGTCCCTGTATACTTTGTGGGTGTGCAGTGGAAGGAGAAACCCAAATGGCTCTATAGATTAGTTGGTGAGTTGGTTTTTTTCCAGCGTACAGAACATATTAACTATTTATGTCAGCAGTAATTCCATCTGAGTCTGACTGCTCATGATGTCTTTTGTATTGCAGAAAAACTCACGTACAAGGGCCAGAAGGTGTGTTATGTGGTGTTTCCTCAGGATGACCCCTCAGAAACTGAGCCCCTCACTGCCAAAGCTACTGACTGAGGAGTGAAGTCAAACCAGGACTTCCCCTTTTGCATCAACGTCAATACTTCCCGTTTTCGTCTTAAACGTGTTCTTGTTTGGTCAGTGAAGCACGAAGAGAAAGTGTCATATATTTTTGCACAGGTGTGGACTGGATTGGGCTGGCATGGAGCCCATTTTACCCAGTGCATGTGTTTTTAACTTTTTGGTTTTGCTGTCCATCCATTGTCATCACCAGCATGCAAAGTTTTATTTTTCATACAGATCCTTATCCTTTCCCTTCTTACTCAAAGAATCTCCATTCTGTTCCAAGTCTTTTTCTGCTTCACTTCCAGGATGCTTCCAGCATGCTAATGTGCCTTATGAAATATAGACGTGTGTATAGTGTGTTGGTTGTGCGGGTATTTGGAGTGTGTAATGTCTTATATGGAATAAGATAAATATGCAAGCAGTTTCTGCACTTAGCAATACTTCTCTATAACTGCTGCTACTTTGCACTTTGCTTTACTAATTACTCACATGATGCTCACTGTTGATCTGTTGTGGATGAGTAATTTGTTCTGTCTATATCTCTGCCTGGCTACAGAATCTGGCTGTTCTATTTTCTTTCCACCGACTTTTTAAAAAGAATTATGATTATATCACTTTTCCCTCATGAGAGATGCTGTTGCTGCCTTAATGTTTTTATTAGAGACACTCATCTCTTCCAGTTATTTTTAAAAGACGGGCAAGACCATGACTGGTTCTTGCAGGATTTTGTTGCTTCAGCAGTGATTTCATCTCTGGGTTCCCACTGTGAAACCTCTCAAGGTGCTCGACCAGCCAAAACAGTTATTACACTCTTGACCTGTTGTGATACAGTATTTGAGCACTAATGTGTTGTTGCATAACTCTAACAGAATCTGTAATGATTGACAGACGGCTGGCAGTGGATGTTTACTTGAGCTCTCACTTCCCCAAAAGCCACTACAATGACCGTTAACTCAATATCGCTTATCCACTGATCAGCTGACTTAACATGACACTGCTGACATCACAGAGTTGGATTAACATCCTTTTTGTATCCCATGACCTCTTGGACTTCCTGTATTAGTCAACATTGTTGATGTATTATGGCCCAGACCTGGTCAAACTTGCAACCTCAGTAATTTTGCATTCACTGTGGTCCAGGAGATATTGTTGTTGTTGTTGCTACCTTATCGTATTTGAGTATTCTCTTAATATCTCTTTTATGTTGTACATATAACAAACAAATGAAGGTTGGGGCCTTTGGCCTTTTAAAATGAAAAGTAAACCAGCAGCTTTGAACTTTATTGAACGTGCAGTCCCTTTCTCAGCCCGTAGCTGCTGGGAACTCCATGAAAAGAGACTCGTGTCTGTCCTGCCATGTCCCGGTGCTTTTAGCTCTGAGAGCTGTAAATACTGTGTGACAAAAATAAACTTTTAAAAACGCACCAGGGGCTTCTACAAAGATGACATTCCTCAAACATGTTGTGGTACATTTGTATACTGTATAATGGGTGTACCTTTGTTTTGTAAAAGACTGAAGTTGTAAATTAATAACAATGTAATTGATCATTAAATATAGCGACTTCGAAGAAACTCGGTGTGTCGTCTCCTCTGTGGGATCCTTTTTAGCACCATCAGGTCAAAAATGGGGATTTCTGTGCTAATTAAGTAAGTCGTTGGTTTTCAAGCTTTTTCTGGCATGACCCACTTCGGAAGCTTGGCAGCTGCTATAATAGGTTTTAGCAAGTTTTCAGCAATTTTTTTTTTTCTTAACATATTTTAATGGTTTTGTTTTTCCTCTGGTTGTTCATGGCCCACCTGCAGTGGCTCTGCACCTCACAGTTTGAAGTAAGATCAGTCAAAGGTAACTACTGTGCAAAATAAACTATGTACCAGTAGTACGTTGGTGGTTGCACTTTGAGTAGTTTGATGCCAACAACAGTTTACTATAGTACATTTTACTATGAAAAACCAGAATGCGAGTGACGTAGTAGCTCATCCAGGTACAATCCACCACAGTTTACAGGTTATTGTATCATTTAAAGCACAGAAAAGCAAATTATATGTTTTGTTTTCATTGCACAATCTAATGAGGATAGTTTGTGTGCACATTACGCTCACACATCACATTAACTCACTGGTCTTTTGGCGACGAGTTAAAAAAAAATTTTTTTAAAAAAAGAAGAGAAAAAAAACCCCCCAGAAAATAAATTTTGAAGTTTATTTATTGCAGGCACAGGAAAATTATGATAAGCAGAAGATTAAACAGAATTTTGGATCTGCAAACCCAACAATGCCATGGCAGCATTTCTCTTGCAGCACAAAATATACAAATATAATTCTCAAAACGTGAGAAACAAACATCATCTTCAGCCTGTGAAGGGAACAAAGCTTCAAACTCAAGTCTCTAATGATGATATTATCAGACAGAAGCTTTCAGCAGAACTTTACTTTCCAGTGGCCACAATCCAGTGTGCTTACCTGTGCACAAAACTATACAAACGTACAGCTATTACTAAAGCATACTGAAGACATTTTGCTAAAGCATAAACGCTGAAATTCAGGGAACAGAAAAGACACACTTATCTAAACTGGCAGGTCATAATCATCAACCTAACCACATTAGCAGTCAGTGTAACACAATTTCACTAAAGATTGTACCAAATTACCATGACTCTCCTTAAGCTGATGACTACATCCTGAATAAATCACTACTTAAATACAATGGAAGAAGACCTGAAAGGTTCCCTTTCTCTTACGCTTCGCTGTAATAATCCCAGAGCTGAGATTTCTGACATATTAGTGCACTGTACCTCCAGATCAGTCATATTTAACAATCACATGACATGTATAAAAGAGTGTTGTCTAGACAAAGACAAATCTAATCTCTTCAAACAGGTAAACCACAGAGTTGATTCATAAACCCTCCTTGACCATTGCAACAACAGGGAAAACCCCATTAAGGCGTTTTTAATGCATGTCTCTAAATCACAAAGCAAGATACGCATTTTTTTTCCAGACAGCAGCTAAACGATTTCACTTTAAGCTAAATGAGGACGGATGTTTTTTAAATAGACGTACAAGAGAACACAAGTAAAACATCTGTAAAACTATAAATAAATATAATTAGCTTATTTTTTGATATTTCAAAGAAAGAACTGGAGATGAGAACAGATTATGAGGCAGAAATTAGTTGGAAGGACTATGGAGATATCTCTAATGGCACATAACATATAGCAGCTGTTCTTGGCAAAACTTGTAGGGTAGCATGGCACATTCAGCTCATTTTAAAGAAAAAAACAGTAGGAACGATCTAGTTTTTCCACACGAAATGGCATTCTGGTCAATTCTCTTTTGCTCCAAACCCACACTACTTATTGGCTTCTTATTCTTCTAGTATAAATATCCTGCAGCACAAGTGGGAGGGGGGAATCACTGATATTTATAACAAAAGAAGACTGGTACATTCTTTAAAGGTCCAACAGTGATTAGCAAAATGTTACCAGTGTCAAAAAGCAGCCCAGAAACAGGCAATAACTTCAAGGCAGAAAGAGAAACGTAAAGCAAAACTTTGTACAGGTCTCCACTGAAGACTTGAAAATAGAGGTCTTTGCTTAAGCGTCCAGTATTAGAAAATTCCACAGCATAGATTTGAATTTCCACCAGAATAAACCAGCAGTCCAGACATCCACGGTGACCCAGTCATCGACTGGGATGAACAGTGAACAAACAGTATTTCCATGTGAAGCTCCTCTTTCCAAAGTTTCTTGGGCATTCACATACAGTCAGTGCACTGAATGGAGGTCAATGCAAACACTCATACATATATACATACATATACACACACATATATATATATATATATATATATACACATATATATACACATATATATATATATATATATATACACATATATATATATATATATATATACATATATATATATATATATATATATATATATATATGTGTGTGTATATGTATGTATATATATATATATATATACACATACATACATATATATATATACACATACATATATATATACATACATATATATACATACATATATATACATACATATATATATATATATATATACATATATAGTCGGGTTCATTTAAAAGGATGGACTTTGTTTAACGGGACAGGTTTGGTTTATTATGAAAAGGATGAGAGGCTGAACAGAGTTAGAGGCAATATTCTTGGACTCACTTTGTAAATCTTCATCCAAGTTTGGCTTATATTAAACTGATCATACATGAAGATAAAAACTAAAGCTACAATTGATAAAAGTGAATAAATAAGTTCTTGATGTTTCTTAAAAGTGGTCAAAATGATGTCTGATGAATCAATACTGACACTGTACAAGTGTTAAAGGAAAAGTTGATATTTTTTCTGGGAGATAAGCTTCCAAATTCTCAATTATAAATATATACTATAGCTTGCACCTACTTAGCTTAGCACAAGGTTATAAAACAGAGGGGAAAACTAGCTTTAATGACTGCCTTCAGACAGAAACTATCCTAGCCTGCACTAGGGTAACCTAGACTACCAGGTGTGCTATTTTCATCAAACTCTCCACAGGAAAATATAAAAACCTATTAAAAAAAATATCAAACCTTTTTCTGACACGGTTCAAAGCTGTATTTCAAGACATTTCTTACTGTCAACAAAACGCACAACAAGACCAAAATCAACCAGTGATATCTGTAATGGTCTGTTATTATGTAACCATGAAGAACAAATCCCTGAACAATCCCTGAATATTGAATATTGACTCTTCATGGAAATGTAGAGTCAATATTCAGCTCAATATTCCATCTATTTATCATCATATTTATCAATGTGTAAAATAAGATCTTATAAGGAAATTACAAAAATGTGTTAAATAATGAATAAATACATAAGAGTTTCAAACTCCTGCTTCCACGAGTGCACCTCGTGTGTTATTCTGTTCGATGTCCACGGCTTTGTCTGATTTCTCTCCTTACTGCTGTTATGTCTTTAAGAAGGTTGATGTGGACAAATCACAGGATTTGTTGCCAATATTTTAAAAAAAAATGTAAAATTTCAGCAACAACATCCTTAATTGATGCACTCAGCCGTGACATATTAATGATGTCACAAAACAATAACAACTAACATAAACAATAAAAGGGAACAAGAATAGAGGATCGATCAGATCAATTTGTGTGTTCACTCATTAGGCTGTTATGGCTCACAGTATGTAGCGGTGCATAATGGCTTTGGGTAAAGACATAAAGGCTGTTTTGGCATTTCAGATACATTTTGCCAGTAGTGGGTTGTATTAGTACTTGTGGCCAAAACTGGATTTAATCTTTTGGAACAAATTCAGGGTAAATATCATAACGGGCTAATTGGGGCTATCTGTTTGCATTTAAATGAAGTAGTTAAGCTCTGGCATGAGCTTTAGAAAGCAATTTACAGGAAGAACGACTAATGCTGGTTTTATTCGTCTTAGGATAAGACTGCATGTGCATAATTGTTTGCAACTGCACATTTTATGCATTCAAATAATGAAATGGAGTGATATTTATTGAGTTTCATATTGTACCCCCTCCAAACAAAAGGCTGAAGTACAGGTTCTCACCTCTGACTCTGGTGGAGTCACATCTCAAGGACACTTTATCAGAACTGATATTGCAATTGCCAGCTCTCGACAGTGAGGAGAGCGTCATCCTAAACTTTTCAGCACAGCGTCTCCCTTCCTAAATCTCCTCCCTCTTCACTGATGCTTCTGCCGAACCTGCATAGGCTGCTTCTTGCCTCTGGTTTCATCTCATCCCTGCTTGGCACGTTCACAGTAAACTGGCTGTCACTGTCCTCTGGTTTCACAGAGGAAAATAAGGGCTCGGTGGGTGAAGTCACCTCTGAACCCTGTGGTTGAGGTTGAGTTGATGGTGTCTGGGAACTGCTGGGAAACACAGGGGGTGAAATAGGGGACAAAGGTCCTAAGGGGGAGTAACGTCTTAAGGAAACCCCCTTCAGGTTAACTGCAAGCTCCAGAACCAATTTTCTAGATGCCCGGGGTGGGCACAGGGGTACAGAGGCTTCCTGGGGGGAGAGAGGAAGTCCACTTTGTACTGAGGAGTCACTCTGGCAAGGAGTGGGAGGTGAAGACTCTGCAGCCCTGCTGCCATCTCTGCTGACAGGTGACAGGTCCTCTTCCTCCTCTGGACTGTCTACTGAATGAAAGGAGAGAGGCGATGCAGGGCTCTCCGGCAGGTCCACACCCACTACGTCAGACCCACCTGCAGACATGGCCCTGTTCTGAGGTCCCTGCTCCCCGACAGTCCGGTAGCTGTGAAGCCCTAGTGTGATCTGCGTGGGTCCAGGGGGATCCAGGAGTGGGGCGTGGCCTCTGCCTCGTCCTCCACTACGGAACAAGCGATTCCAAAGATGGCCTAGACGTCGTCTGGAAGAGGAGGAAGTGGAGCGGCGAGTTGAGTGACGCCTTATCTGCCTGCGCATTGCCAACCGAAGATTCTGTAACACTGAAGCCTGGATGACGGGGGATTAAAACAGAAACACGCTGAAGTTCATTTCTCTCTAAATGCAGCGTCGCCAGTGTCTGTTAGTGTGCGCGAATTTGTTACCTGGGTGGGATTGTATACAGGAAAATCTTCCACCGGAGGGATAAGACCCTGGGCTATTAACTGACCATATGAAGGAGGAGCCTCTCTCTGGACAAAGTCGGCCTCCATGCGAGTCATCTGCGTCTCAAAAGCTCTGTAAAGGAGTGAGGAAGGAAAAAACAGAGCAGGATTAGGGAAAAATCAGGAAAACTATTTGAAAACCCACAAAAATACTTTCACTTCTACAGTTTCTGGCAGCTGCAACAATCAACACCATCCCAGCGTTCCTCTGACTTAACATTCATTTAGTGGCAGAATGAGGGCCCACCTGTACTCTCGGTTCCTGAGGGAGTGCAGTTTAAGGGCACAGCCAAGAGCAATAACCAACAGGAGACTGCAGACCAGACTGCCGATCAGGGCAGCTGTGATCACTTTCCTGGGCACTGCTGCCAAGCAGTCCCTCTCATCGCTTCCATCTAAACAGTCCTCCTGGCCGTCACAGCGCCACGTCTCAAAGATACACAGGTTAGTCCCACAGTGGAAGTTTCCAGGTTGGCAATCGTAGCAGTTCTTCTCGTCCGACCCATCTGGACACCTCTTCTGGTTGTTGCAGCGTTCAGAGGCTGGGTAACACATTCCTGTACCACCCTCGCAGGGGAACTCTCCATCTGGACACATCGGACAGCCCTCCTCATCTCGACCAGATGGGCAGTGCCAGTAGCCGTCACAGCGCTGGCGTTCAGAGTAACAGCCCTGATCACTGCCGCAGGGACGCTCGCCAGGAAAACAGTAACCTTTCACCTGGTAGGATGGAGGAGAAATGCATCACTGTCTAGACACAGAAGGGACAACTTGTACTATACTTAACTGACTGTGTTTTCTGAACAAAAAGAGCAGTTACTGTTTCTAAATCAGTTACTTTGGATTAAAAAAGAAAAACACTGTAACTTTTGACAAATTAAAAGTTTTAAACAACTTTAAAAAAAGAGGTTGAAAGAATTTCAAAGGATAGATGAGAATAAACGATGAATGAAATGAACATTAGCCAACCTCAGTACCTGATATGTAGCATTGAAACCATGCCCCGGACTGTGAGGCTGGGCCATGTACAAAACGCTCATCTGTCCCCGGCTCGACTCCAACAGGGCGGGCCGCCTGTTGTTGTGATATGACAACACCTGTAACAGATGCTCCGCTCGCTGCAGCAGGCCGTCATAGACATGCAGCAAATCTCCAGGCCCCAGCTGCAGGTCCAGCTGCAGAACAATGGGCTTAGGGTCCTGAGTGTCCAACAACCAGGAGCATCTCAGCTCAGTGTCGCCGCTACGGTTCGCACGGAAAAAATCGGGAGAGGCAAACGAGCCATAAAAGTTCCCCAGACGTTTGCCACAAGTAGTGTCAGGGCAACCCAGTTCGTCACTTCCATCGTGGCAGTCCCGGGCTCCGTTGCAGCGCAGGCCCGCGGGCAGGCATCGGGTGGACTGGGCCTCGGTGCACGGCAGAGAGCCAAAGGGGCAGAGGCCCGGCTGCGCCTCAGTGGGAGTCGGCAAGCAGCTGCGTTCATCCGAGGCATCCCCACATTCATCCTGACCGTTGCACTTCCAGGAGCGAGGAAGACACTTCCCATTCCCACAGAGGAATTCATCTGACTGACAGCTGCTCTGACCTAGGTGACCTAAAAAAGAATATGTCTGGTTAGCTGCTAAAACATCACTTTTACCCCCCAAGAGATAGTTGCCAGTCTCATCTGTCTGCCATGTCCAACTGCAATCAATATCACAGGTTTTAGGCTTTTCTCAGCTTTTTAAAAAAAGACAAACCATAACAAAAAAAATGCATTAGTATTGTGGATGATCATATCAAAACAAACCAAGCAGTAACCCTGTGTAAACATACAAAACAGCTCTATTAATTCAACCCTCACAAAACTTTATTATGGCTTTATTAAATCTCTGTTTTAATGCTGCATCTTGACCTCTATGTTGTTATAACTGCTGTTACTGATGCATGCTCTGGTCTGCACAGAGATTCTGCTGCTACTTTACCCACCTCGTGTTTTCCACATATGCGCATAGAAGCATGGGGAGGTCCCAGAACAGATGCTTATGTTCAAATATAAAATACTGCAGGTGGCCCTGACGTAAATGTTATAAACATGATAATTCATTTTATTTTATTTTTTTTATTTATTTATTATTTTATTTCATTTTATTTAATAATGAGTTTGCAGTGGGTGTTGCTAATGGATTAAACTGTAGAGGTATTTCTAATATTTTCACGCACTCTGGTATGTTTATGGAGTGGATAAGCAATATGCAAATATTCTCCAGCTTACCTCTGATGTAAGAGAGTCGGAAGCCCTGAGCTTGCCCAGAGCTGTTGGCTTGAGAGTGGAAGAAGAGCCAAACACGCCCCCTGGTGGAGATGAAGGGCTGCGGCAGCACCGAGCCACATAGCCTGGATTCTCTCTTCCACGTAGGTGTCAGCAGGAGCCAGTCTCCCATGCATTTTCCTGACTCCGCCAGGTCGAAGTTACGGAAACTGGAGCATGGAACATGAGTTTAGGTGACTCGGTTATAGAAATATCATATGTATGCAGCGTATGTTTCAGGGACTCTACCTGATGGTAATAACTTCTCCTTGACCCCCCTGAATATGCCAGCTGCAGTTGACCCCAGCTGGGTAGTTTAAAGGCCAGGAAGGGCTGTAGATCACACCCCTCCGCTCTGTATGGATCTCCACCTGCTCGCTGCAGCCTGTCTCAAAAAAGACAGGGGGGATGGCAGCATACATATTAGGGAGGTCGGTCTGAATGCTCCTTGTGCACATCAGAACTAAGAACACGAACACTTGGCAGACATCGAGCATTACCAAAATGTTGGCTTCCACACTCTATAAACCGTTTTATCCTCATTCTTTTATTTGTGACCGCTACAAAAAACACTAAACGATTCACTGACAAGACAAATGACCTTAGTGCCATTGTGGGGAAGCTCCACGCTGATCAGATGGAGCTTTAAACAGAAGCAGCAGCCAAACTGGCAGCCAAGGCAACAGCATCTCCTGCTGCCATCACACCATTACTCCAGGGAGCAACACAAATGTGTGAGCAGGCCAGGAAAAGCTCCAGGACTAACACGCAAACCTCTGTGTGGTGTGCAGGCACTGAATCCTGTTGTTTTTCTAAGTAAAGGCGCAGCGATCAAGTTACCGGCATCATAATCTGCAACATAAATGTGGAATGGGAAGTATCTCATTTCATTCTTGTGCTGAAAGCAATAATATAGAGCAGGCGCATTAATCATCGCATTACTGCTTAATGCCACAGAAAGAATGAAACACATGCAAGGAAACGCTGTCTAACAAGCCTCTTAATTAACCAAAACCACAGAGACAGAACATTAGCTCAACTATGATCCAGTGCTGACACACAGCAGGGAGTCTGCTGCTTAGTGCTGTTTGTTTCTGGCTTACTTGATGAATCAGTAAAGTCAGCAGAGTGAAGCAGGGTGGCGGAGGGAGGAATCGTTTAAGTGCGGATATCGACTATCCACACTAACTTAGCACACACATAAATACCTACACATACTGGGCTGGACCAAGCTGCTACACAATGCTGTTGTTTGGTACAATGAATAAGAGAACTGAAGCACATTTTGACTGTTGTGTTTGTGTTTCATCTACTTTCAAACTCAGATGCTGGAAAAATCTGATCACAGAGAGAAAGAGAGAGAGAAAGAAAATTCACATTAACTCACTATTTTTGGTTTACCAACAGATGTAAAAAAATAAGATTTAGCTGCTGTTTTATGCTTAAACTACAGAACATGAACAGTTCACCAACAATAGTTGCTCAGGGAGCAAACCTTTTCTCTATGACATCCAGAGACTCCAAAATGCACTGCAGCCAAGAACAACTCCAGCTCAGACGCCAATAGAGTCATCAAAATATTAAAATAGTGTTTTATCAGTGAAAGGTGAATACACAAAACGTAACAACACAAGACACACTAATAGATAGTGGTGGGAAAACTACATCTATAGGTTTTGACGCTGCATTCACATTTAATGAAGATCAGCTGTAAAATGTTCCTTAAAGGAGATTATTATGTCGATCCCGTGGCTGATTATTAGCATCACGCTGGAATTATTAGATGTGAAAAAACTTCCCGTAGTTTTTTTTAGGAGCTACCTTGGGTTAGGTGATGTAAACCTCAGTGGTGCTGATAATATTTGTGTGTTTTTTAGCTTAACATATATCAAACCTGTAGTTTAATAGCTTTCAAACAAATGTAATGGAGTAAACCATGCCAAACTTTCACTGAAATGTGTATAAAGGGATATTAAGTTTTGTTTGTTTTTTTACAAAAACATTTGAAATTGCATTTATAGCTTTTAAGGCATGTAAATGTCCCTTTTTAATTTCCTGCTCTGATTACAGTGAAGCGTACCTGAGAGAAACAAGTGGATTAAGGTTGCACTTCAGCATTAAGCCCTTCAGTTTTTAATCTGCATTGTTCTCAAAAACCACACATAATCATGAGCTCAGGTAAAATGTGGAGATACTGAATGCAGTTGCAGCTTGTGTGTGTATTTGTGCATGCAACTTCAATCACCCTAGAACTTTATGTGTGAAAACATCAATTCTTTTTTTGACTTTTTGCTTTTTAAACCGCTTATCCGACTAGACTCGTGGACATCCTGGACAGGTTGCCAGCACAGGGGAACAGACAGCAACACAGGCTGGAGCACCAGGCATAAGGACAACATGCACACTGGACACATCAGCCAACCTCAAAGCTTGAAGGTTCCTGAGTTGGGATGGTGTGTTCCCCTTTAATCGTGCAAATCTCTTCTCTCCTCAGTCTCACATCACCCTGACTTAACATTCATGATCTTACCCTAACTACAACTTGTCTAACCCAAAAACCTAACCTGAACATATCCCTTTATCTTAATTTTTGAAGACCTGAATTATCTGGACTGGCTTTCTGTCCCCATAATGAAGACACAGTCCAGAACCCTCGACCCCACACAATGTTAACACCTGGATCACACACACACCTCCAAACTCTCACTCTGTGTCCCTTTAGCAGCCTTCCTCTTTATTTAAATGCCAATTAAGTGCAGTGTATGACAATGGAGGGGGGAGGAGGGGACCGTGGGGTTGACTGGCTGCAGAGAAGCAGTGATGTAATGCCGATAGCAGCAGTATCACATTTGCGAAAGCGCGTCCATGTTTCCACACTAACCGTGATCATTTACCCACCACAGATCAATAATCCCGCAGGTTTCTGCACAACGATAGCCTCTGTGCTCTCCCTCCATCCAATCAAAACAATGAAAACAAACCGTCTTCATCTATCAGATCACTTAATCAGAGACACACAGTAGTAGACAAAATAACACCCACTGCTGCTGCTCGGGTGTGAACACAGAGACGCTCCGCTCTGATAGTCACTGATGTAATCATAGTAGGAGCTTTGTAAATTACCGGATCTCCCGTAAAGATGCGAACACGGATCAAGAAATAGAAAAGCATGGCCACTTACATTTCACCGGGCAATGCGGATCACTTGTGCATGCCATCATGTGTTCGTGAACATCACAGGCAGAGCTTTCTAAACTAATTAGAACAAGCCTCCGTCTAAAACATCACAGCGGTGTAGAGACGCATTGTTGTTTCTCACCTGCACAGAGCAGAGCACAGCGGAGCCACAGCAGCCCGAGAAGAGGCAGCAGCAGGGGCAGTACCGTCAGTCCCATGGTCCGGCGGGGACCTCTGCTATTATCTCCCACACGCGTTTCGCTGTTCGCTCCACATCTGTGCGATCCACACTAGCTCCGGCATCTGCGTCCAGCCTGGACACAGCTAGAGCTCCTCCTTGCCGTGAAAAGGCATTGTGTCCTTCTTTTGCAGCGGTAGCCAAGACGCTACGATCAAGTTAGCTCCAACTAGCGATGCGGCTTCTTGTTACTCCCTTCAAAATAAAGGCTTCGTGGCAAACGTTAAGTTTTGCAGCATTATAAAACTAAACGTCTTATAGACTATAGTCTTAGATATAAAAATCAAGATTATATAGGGTTTGGATTTGTAGTTTAAAATTACAGTTGAGATGCAAAGCTAGAAATTTTTTGTTTTCTTGAAGACTACTTCCGCTCTAACTTTGGCTGACTCTACTCAGCTTTCCACATCTTAAATGAAAAAAAGTGGCTCACATAATTCTTAAGCCTTGTCCCCTCTTTCTCCAGATGAAACTTTATATATTGAACTGAAATACAGAATTACGTAGACGGCTTCTGGTAGGAAAGATACATAACAATCTTCTCCCTCTCGCCCGCTTGTGCTCTGATTCTTTTATGAGTATGCCCTTTCACTTTCGCCCTCGTGTGGTTAAACTCTTGTACTGCAAGTTGGACTTTAAAATAAATTATACAGTCCCTTTTAATTTAATAACGTATTTTGAGTTTCACATACACCTGGAAAAGTGTTTTGCTGAGAGAAAAGTACTATGTAAATGTAAAGTTATGACAAATGGTGCACACTGAACAACAAAAGAAACAACTGAAAGGAAAGAAATAAAAGGCACCGCTGGGATTCGAACCCAGGATCTCCTGTTTACTAGACAGGCGCTTTAACCAACTAAGCCACGGCGCCGCTGACGGAAACTCTCGAAAAGGGCATTTATGAATAGTGAAATACATGGGTCCAATGACGTCACTGCTATGTTCAGTGTATTACATGTATTCTCCTGTGAATGCGACGTGATATATAAAGTTGTCTCCTTTTATTTTTTTTATCTTATTTTTTAGGTACTAGAAAATACGAAGGGCTAAAATGTTATAATTAGCAGTACACCGTTAAGTTACATTTATCCAAATCAATCAACTAAAAGGAGAGATTAACGTGGCTTAGTCAAACGGAAGCATAAATATGAGATGACACTAAAGCATAACTTTAAAGTGTAAGAAACAGTGCAGTGCAGCAGTGTCTTCGGTGTGGATTCAGTATTGTAAGAGTACAGGGTTGAAATACACAGCACACTTAAGCGAAAAAGATGATAGTGTGTATTACAATTCCCTGTAGATTATTTCAAATTTAAGCAAAAATATTACGCTTTTGATTCCCATCAATAAGGTTTTGCATAGAATGTCACGTATTTACTATTAACTAGTACATTTAGAACTAGAAAATGCATTTTCTGAAGAAACTGCAGTGTAAATGCTGATAGCTGAATGTTTTGAGCTGAAATGGCTGCTGAATGTTGTTAAAAATGTTGAATGAGCTGAAATAGGACGAAACATTCACCTGAAGGCTGAAGTGTTGAACTGTTGAAAGCTAAAGTTCACACAGATGAAGAAGTTTCAAAGTTGGAAAGTAGCTGAAGATGTTTAAAATGTAGATGAGAAAAAAACGGAATATTTGCGCTGTGTGTGTGCGCGCACATGTATGTGTGTGTTTCTGTGTGAGTGTATGTCTCTGTGTGTCTGTATTTCCTTGTGTGTTTGTCTGTCTCTCTCTCCCTGTGTGAGTGTATGTCTCTGTGTGTCTGTATTTCAGGGGTTTTGAAGCTGGCAAGTAGCCGAGCATGTTTAAAATGTACATTAGAAAATAAAGCATGAAACTTAAACTGGAACTGAATAAAAAAGTATAAAAGATATTGAAAAGATAAATACAAGCTGAATAGCTTGACTTCGTTTTAAAGTTTAAATGGTATCTGTGGGTCAACATATGTGGAAGTAGTTAGAGTTGAAAGACGAATAAGTTGAATGAGGATTTGAAGGGTCTCCCGATTGAAATACATTGTAAATTTTTGTTGAATAAAGTTGAATAATTAAAAAATATATATATAAAAGATACAGAGAAATGATCAAGAAAGACAAGAAGTTGACCCCAGCTGTCTTCCATGGGATGAACCCCTAGACCCTTACCTCAGCTCTCTTCCTTGGGGTGAACACGTACAACTAGAGGAGAAGCGCTTTGAAGAAATGCAGAATGAAAATCTCATGAACAGAGAAAAGATTATGTCCCTCAGGCAAGAAAATGAGTGAAAGAGTGCTGAATGAAAAAAAAAACAGTCCTACCAGCTTCAAGAAAAAGAAGGTATTATTGAGGAGAAACAATGGGCTCTGCAAGACAAAAAGAATCAGGAGCTCCAAGAAAAGCTTGATCAAGCTCTGGAAAAAAATAATGAAATCTTCCAAGAGAAAAAAAAACAGGACATAGAGTTCAAAGAAAGAAATGGACAGCAAGCTTGAAGACATGAAGGAAAAATCCAGAGTGCTCCAAATAAAGCTCAATAAAACACTGCACAGACATAAAGTTTCTTCAAGAAAAGAACAACAGGACACACAACAGAAAGAAATGGATTGCAAACCTCAAGAGAAAGAGGAAAAATATAAAATGCACCAAATAACTCTTAGTGAAACTGCTGAAAAATCAAGAGATGCTTCAAGAGAAGAAGCAACAGGACATGAAACAGAAAGAAACGGATTGCAAGATTCAGAACATTGAGAAAAACAATGAAGGCTTGCAAGTAAAGCTTGATGAAGCTCTGGAAAAAATAAAGAAATCCACCAAGAGAAGAAACAACAGGACATCGAGCAGAGAGACATGCAGTCCAAACTCCAAGGCTGCAGGTAAAGCATAACAAAACATTGCACAAAAATCAACAGCTGCTCCAAGAGAGAAACCAACAAGAGATAAAACAGAAAGGAATGGACACCAAGCTTGAAGACATGGGGGAAAAAATCCAGTGCTTTAATTAAGGCTCGACAAAACACTGCACAGAAATAAAGATTTTCTTCGAGAAAAAGAACAACAGGACACACAACAGAAAGAAATGGATTGCAAACTTGAAGAGATGAGAAAAATACAAGGTGCTCCAAATAACTCTTGATGAAACACTGCTCAAAAATCAAGAAATACTTCAAGAGAAGGAGCATGAAACAGAAAGAAGAAAAACTTGTTCTTCAGAGGAAAAAACAAAACAAAAAGGAAGTACAAAACAACTGAACTGGAGGGAGAAAAGAAAAAGCCGGAAAAACAATGCTCAGAGATGCAGAGTAGCATCAATGAAATGCTGAGAAAAAACACAGAACTTCAGGAACTTTCTAACTACTTGAAGAACAAGAACACTAAAATCCAGGTGCAAAAGCAACAACAGAAAACACATGGAGCAGAATTAGAAGATGTGGAGAAAAGATGCAAGAAACTTGAGAAAGAAAATGCAGAAATAATCCATGAGTTGACAAACCTTATCCTTGAGAAAAAAAGTGCTCATGGAACAGTGCCTAAAAAAGAAGAAAAAATACTTTCACTTGTTCTGGAGGAGGGACACTGCTGCTCCTCACATGATGTAACATCGTCTTCCTCCACCTCTGTTCCATCTTAATTTTCACCGCTCCTCCCAGTTAACCTATATTAGTTCTTTTCAGAATATTCTAAGTTTTTTTAGTTGTTGTTCTAACTCTCTTATAAGTACGAGTCCACTCAATTCTATCAATTTAGTTTAGCCTGATGCAGTCCACCCAATGCTTTGACTCACTGCACAAAGTGACTGATTGTGAATGCCCAGTAACACTTCAAAGAGTTACCAATTTGTCAGGGTTTATTGCTATATTTCTTTTCTTAGGTATGTTGAAGCTTTCTTAAGTTCTTGTTGTAGCTGTTATTAGTTTGGGTCTAAGTTTCCTTGTATTTTGTTATTCATTGTTTAAGTCCATCTAGTCAATGGACGTTGATTTAAGCTAGCTGGACCAGTGAAACTGATCTTTCTAGTACAAAGAAGTTTACTACATGTTTAATGCTATAATATAACAAAAACAAGTGCAAAGTCAACAGTATGAAGAAAGAAATCTGTCAGTCTGACATTTCGGGGGTTAAATTGTCATTATAAAACCAAGAGTGTAGTATAGTATAGTAAGTATAGTAGATGGTGAAATAAAATAAAAAAAGATTCTGTCTAATACATTGGTAAATAAGTATGAAAGGCCATGGGGCGGTCCTTATAAATAGGAAAAGGGGTAGGCTCAAATTTATGAAAATGCACCTATCCAAAGCAATCAACTGGATGCATTTTGAGTCTTTGACGACCGTTTACACCCCCCGGGCCTTATGTTCGGCACCCTTTTACTAAGCACTTTAGGGTTTGCTTCTACAGTGAAGTAGCTAACTTCATCTTTGCCATAAATTAAAACTGACTTAGCACTAAAGAAAATTCCATCCTTTCCATAATGAAAAGTCAATGTGAAAATGCTGTCTAAGCTTGTCTTTAAACTTACATGATAACCATAAATAATAACGATTGTTTTTCACACTGACACAGCAAAATTGGAAATAAAATGATTTTGTTATTACTTATGTACTTGTTAAAATTAAAATAAAAGACTTTTACTAGATTGTCATTTTAACTTTCTTACATTTCCTACATACTCCACTATCCCCAAATTTGGGAAAACTGTAAAACAGATTTTTGTTTTCTGTTAATCTGCACCACACTGCAACACAAAACCCTTGCCTCCTTCGCTAGCATTACTACTATGACCACCAAAAAAAGAACTGTTTAAGGGCCCCCCGTTAATGGGTCAACAAGTGACTTCTTCAATATTATCACTATTTTGCATTGTTCCATATTTGTTTGATGGCTCATAACTTACTGCATTTTCCAATAGAATACAAATGTCAGGAGCCCTCTAAAACAAGCACTGATGAAGGAAATTCCTCAGTGACCTATCAGATACCAGCATTTACACAGGTTTTTCTGAACTCTAATAAAAGTTTGATGATTACAAAGAAGACGTAGCTGAGATTTGTTAAACACAAGGGTCATTGGCACAGGTAGGACATGATCCACACTAATTAAATAGCTTGGTTTTAGCTGTTTCACTCTTTAAATGACACTGAAAGGGCCGATAGATGCCCGATGTTCAGGTCACTAAGGGTTCCTCACATTGAAGTCAATAAACCACTGTTGCGGCTACTCCAACCAATGGCCGCGGCAGGCTAAACATGAGGACACCTGATGACGCGCAACAATTAACGCACAAAACACTTCTGTAACATTTGCTTCTTTATTTACACATGCAACCGTCCAATATATACACATCGGCACATAGGATTAACTATCAAACAAACGCACAGATTGCACAAACAAATAACTACAACTCGTCGATAACTGTACTAACCATTATGTCCAATTACAACCTGGTTTATGGCATTAATTAGTACTCCGATATACAAACACCATCAAGTTCCAGTTAAAATACAACAAAATCATTCAAGTTACGCTCAAGTTGTGCTCTGTTGCGCTCTGTTGCGGTCAACAGAAAGTTTTGCCTCGTGCTCACCCTACCTTCTGCTCATCACATCAGGTGCTGTGTACAAGTGAGTGCAACCACCTTCACCTTATACCACACCCATGAGACACGCCCCACACCCATGCACCAATACAGTGAGTCCACTTAAACCAACCCATTTAGTCAGACGGAAACAACTCATATGGCTCCTACAACCACATCACAGGACACTTAAATGGCAACACTACTTAAATCAGCACCACTAACCAAAGCTACCAGCATGACCAGTTGAAATGTATATGCATGTATATATGCGTGCTTCTCAACCCATTCAACAGTTTACACTGTACACAAATACTAATGGAAGAAGCAGTGATCAGCTGCCTCTTCAAGAACTACAGAGGTCACAGCATTGTAGTTTCATTGGCATGTCTTTCCACTCAGACTGCTTTTAGGACAGTGTGCGATCCCGTTCACTGATGACAGCTGACTGAGGATGGAAATGTTTTTTGATTTAGTCATACAGTACCTCCAGAGAATAGTTGGCAGGATCCTTGGATTAGTTCTCGTCATTGACACATTGTGTATAGAAAGAACAACTTTTTTCCCTTAGTGAGCCATTTCAAAACTCTGATGGCTTCAACTTATTTCCAGCCTACTACTTCTGGTGGCAAAAAGAAAAACATTGCAAAAATCAATGTAACACACTACGAATGATATTTCAACAGTTTATTCAACAACTTCATAGACATTTCTTGAGAAGTGTGCTGCTTTATTGGATGTTTGACAAGTGCGGGAACCAAAGCTTTGTACATGCACATGGTCTCAGCACAGGTACAGACTATAGGTTTTTATTTATTTATTTATTTTTAAATCACACAGCCTTGAAATACAGCAGCTGATGAAGCTTACCAACAACCACTTCAGTGATATACACACTTAATGAAATTTCTGTTCGAATTAAAAAGTAAAGACAGGGGAAAAAAAACAACAAAAAAAACAAAAAAAACAACAACAACACGTAAAAACCTAGAAAGAAACTAAAGCTGTAAAAATCAGAAAACAAATCCTACAAATGGCGCCGAGTCGACAAGTCCATGAATGCATAAGTCCGAGGATCTGCATGTCACGTTGCTCAGCTGCTTTGTCTTTGCACATTGGTTAGTCTTTTAAATTAATGTAAATACTATGAAAACAGAACCCATGTCACAAAGAAACATTCCTTTTTACTGATCTTGAGCTCCAATTAGCAGGACACTGGACTATCAGCCATGACAGAGGAAGAGAAAGGTGGGTGGGTGAAGTCTGTATGAACAGAAGATCGTCATCCTAACATGGTGTTCACTGAGGCGACCACTTGTTTCATTACATCTTAAATATTTTATATGAATTTTTACCTAAAGTTGCTGTTTAAAGTGTCTAGATCTGTCTCTGGCTGCACCAGTGTTAGTTCCTCAGACAAAAATCAAAATGATTCAAGGGCACAATATTTCAAACAATCAACAACTTGTGCACGAGTCAGTGTGATTGTGATCTGTGTCTGAGGAGCTACTGAGCCTGACCTGCCTTTGTTTAGTCTGCAACTCATACATTTTCTCCCATCTAGCTCATGGGTTGTGTGTGTCTGTATGTGTATATGTCAGAGTGGGAAAGCGCATGAGATTACTGGTGGGCACACTGTACTCCCGAGCCGTGGTGGCTGCCCTCTTCGTCCGAGCTGTCATTGTAAGCCTCCCTGCGGTTACCAGATGACGAGCTCTGGCTGACGTCATAATCTTGCAGGTCGACCTCCTCCGTGTCTCCACTGATGATGGGTGGCTCTGACCGTGAGGGCAGCATGTCTTCCAGCTCCTTCACAGGGAAAACAATTTTCAAAATACAGCTTTAACAGGCAGCTTCATTGGGATTTCTAACCATTCTCTGGTGTCAGAAGGTTGTGGGGTCATGAGTGCACTGCTACAAGGAGAGAGAGAGCGAGAAGGGGTGCTGTCTCAGGAAGAAATTCACTTCCATCCTCAGCCAGAAAGACAAGCGTGACAGAATTTAAGTACTTTCACATTCATCACAAGAAGGAATCAAATCGCTGAATGGAAGTCTGAATGAAATTAATATCTTTCCCCCCCTCGTTAAAACAACGACAACAAACAAACAGGTCATACTTTCTCTTCAGACCAAAACCAGATTATGTGACGGACTCTGAAGACATAGTAGAAAAAATCATTTGAGAAAACATGCACCTTGGGTTTCTCCCCACTAACCGTACACATATAAATTGCTTTCCACCCAAGAAAAACAGCAGTCCTACATGTGAACATGTTACAGGTCAGACAGCTAACTCACTGCTGAGCTGTCTGAAAATCATGTATATTTTTCAAGTTAAAGCAGCTGTTGTTCAAAGTAAGGTGTGCTGTGGCCTTTCTCCATCAACACTGCTGCCAATATTTCCCTTTTTCCTTGCTTGTTTCAAAGCTGCTAATAAAAGAGCAAATCTATTTACTGCCTCCGTGTGCTGCCATCACTGATGCCCCCTCAGAGGCCTGATGGGCAAGTCTGATTTAAATAATATATTTGAACTCAACTGTAAATGACTCGCTGACTTAAGTCTGTTTGGAATATAGTTTTAATGTCTTAATCTAATTATATGGAGGAAAAAAAATTGCCTATGAAGGACAGTTTTGTAATTACTTCTAAGTACGAAGAATGAGCTTTGGTCTTTGTCTATAATGAGACAAATCAAAATTAGAAGATTAAAGACAGTAAATTAAAAGCACAAATCTGTCATACCCCAAGTTTCTCAGGGCTGATCCAATTGTTGTCAGGAAACTGGACATCAAACTTGATATAAAGATCTCCTTTCTCGAAAGGGTTTCGGTACTGTGGCATGCCTTCTCCCCGCACCATCCTGACAGAGCCTAGAAAAGAGTGCCGTTTGTTTAAAATTAGACTTAATCACATTTTTCTAAACAGTATTTCCAGCACTGGGGATTTAGGGTAAACCCACCCCCCAGTGTTAGTGTGAAGAACATCTTTACAATGATAGAAACTCTCTGCCAATAAAGCCCAAAGCTGGACACCTGCTAGGCTAATACACTTATCTGGCAACCACGTCAGAGCTTTGAATAATGATGCAGTCTGTTCCTGACAAATTCAGTAAGAAAAGCAATGTTAAAAATGGATGTTTACCTGGTTCAATGACTTTGCCAGCAGGGTACTTAACAACAATTTGTCTTCCATCTAAATGTTTCAACATAAACTGGAAACCACACAGCGCCTCCACCAGCCCAATCTTGTGGTTCATGAAGAGGTCATTGCCATCTCGTCTATATGTCTGAAAATAGAGAGAGATTGTTAGTAATATCTGTTAATAGATGAAATCGTCACAGTTCTAACAGATTTAAAAACAAACAAACCAAACAAACAAAGCATCATTTCCTGATATACCAAATATGACAGTGTGGGAAAGCATGTCACTGTATATCATTACCTTTGAATAAAGCTGGGGCTAAAGCAGAAGTGGAGGTTAGTCAATTTTAGGGGGGAAAAAAAAGTTTTTTTTATTCCAATAATCCAAAGAGTTCTCATTGCTGAAGCCTATTCTCTCATAAAAACCACATTAAACACGGTAACAGATAATTGTCAGAACAAATTGCTTTTGTCTGTGACTGATAGCCTTTTAAAGTGGTCAGAATCATTTTCTCTGACAGTGTCTTTTGAGCTCGTCATCTGTGACAGCTATAATTGACTGTGTGACAATGCTTCTTCATGGTGTAATTTGGCAGTCAAGACATTGGGGGAGGCTATGAACTTGGAGTTTTGTAACATTTCTTTCTTATGTTGCAGTAAAATGCGTTACACAACAGCTTTAAGAACTCCTGCACACTAAACTGACAGGCAAATAAATATCTTATCAAAAGGCTAGAATTAACAAGACAAACATCAACCCATAATGGAACACTCAGTAGAGGCCTTGTACTTTAAATTCACACTGTTCCACAAGCTAGCTTTTTTGGCACTGTAATGCTTTGTCAATTTTAATTATTTTTTATTAATTATTAGAAAACAATTAAGTTCGCACCATCACATTTTTGTAAACTGTATTGTATCCGAACACTAAACACCTCTGCCTTAGAGCATTTGTTAGAAATCAATAGTACAAACAAGTATAGCACAAAAAAGTTACTAATTTACTCAATAGGATGCTGTCAGAATGTATTCCTGTATACACAGACAAGTAGTTTTTTAATGCCTCTTAAATACTTTTTATTGTACTACTTCAAATGATTTTCAGACCTTTTGATATAGTGCCATTTCATAAAGAGTACTGATGTTCCATGATCAGTGTTTTATGTGTTGTTGCTGCTGGCTGTACCAACTCATGCTACAGATGTCTATGAATGACATATTTTGACATTAAAGATAGACATCCTGTGGGAGAAGGAGCCAGAGGCACTCCTGAAGCTCTGGGTGGTGTTCTAGTTAAGCCAAAACCATCCACAACCCATTTCCTTTAACATTTACCAGGGTCTTTATTTACCTCAGCCGAGTAAGGTAAGTGGCTATAATTACTAACCCATTTCATTGTCTTCCTCTTAAATCCAGAATCAAATTTAACCCTCTCAGGCCCAAATTAAGTTTTTTGCTGCTAATGCACAACCAAGTCCTGCAGTGGTACTTCTGAGTAAAAAAAACCTCATAAAATATGTATGTGGGGTAATCAGGTTGTTAGTTCTTAACTGTTGCAAATCTGCAATGTCTGCCTGGAGAAGGTTAAAAGTCTTATGACCACTTACGAGGTCTAGAATAATCAGACCCCATAATACTGTATCACCCCAATAGAGGACTTTGCTCTCAGCTTCCTGGGCTCCCTCTGTATTTGAATATTTTCTAAGTTAAATAATACTTGCATATTTCTGAATTTGGCACCATTACGACAAATAAGCTTCATTACGATTTGTCTGTTTTATTAAAATTACAACATTTAGTTGAATTGCTCTTGAAAAAAAGATCAGCATCACAAGACTGATTAGCCTATCAATCCACCACTCATGATGTCAATATAACTTTATTTCATGAGAGGACACCCATCACTTTTTGGCATCCAGCTACAAGCGTTGTTAATGCAAACCAGGAACTCAACACTTCAACCATGTAGAATCATAAGCGCTGATTTTTCAGTGAACAGAAACACTCCTTTTCTTCATTTCCAGGAACACTGTTCAGCTACTACACAAAATCCCTTTTTCCTTTGGTCCACTGTGTGGCTGCAATCACAGCATTGTAAGATGCCGAAAGATTAACCCTTAGGCTGGGGAGCCCACGGCACACCCATCTTTCGCCATCTTACAATGCTGTAATTGCAGCCATTCCCCAACTCTCTGTGAATGGTACTCATGGCCATTGATCAGTGGTCTTTGATCAGTGGTAATGAGAATTTGCATCCTTCAGTGGGCTGGTTTCAGTCATTATGCAAATGTACGGTTTATAAGATTGGGGAAACCTGCGGTCAGCTGAGACTGAAGAAGTCACTTGGATGAGTGACGAAACATTTCTCCCACAAAACGCTACGTCCAGATGAACAGAATCAACTTTTTGGAGATTTACTTTCCTGGATGATTGAGAATGCATCAAGACGTTTTGCTACCAAAGAAATTCAACATTAAGGCATAATACGATTTAATTATAAAAACTCAATAATGTATAATGTTTTCCTTCTTATATGCACTGAAATACAGACTTTTTTTCCCTGTTAGAATTTTCTGTGATACAATTTAAGATTTTCTTACTTTATTTCTTGAATTATTGCAAACAGAGGGGGTGTTTTAAATCAGTAGCTTACTCATGAATCATAAACTCACGAACAACAGCTGTATATATTCCACAGCAGGTGCACCATTTAGCCCACAATCAAACACTATATAACACATGACTTAGGCTTTTGAGTGCTCGAAGTGCTAAAACAATTATTTAAATCTCGTATTGCATAAGGAGGGGTGCCTCAACACATAAGAAATTATTTGACATGATATCTGATCAAGACAATTGCAGCTTTTATGAGATAAAATTAATTAAAAACTATCAACCTTAGTAATGTTGCATTTTAGGCTCTGACAGCTCACAAAACTATGACTGATACAGAAATCATATTTTTCTAATCTGTATCAGTTTCACCCATATTCTATCGCGATATTTCATTTTCTTATCGTTGCCCGACATTATACCGGTATTACCGTGAACGGTATGATATGGCCCAGCCCTACCTAAGACCCATAAAATTATTATCCATCAGCGCTGCAGGAGGTTGGCTTGTTAGTATGAAAGTTAGGTGAAGCATAATGCCATAGACAGAGAAACAATGACCAGGTCGTCCATCTACTACACTAAGTGAATTTACTAGAGCAAACTGAAAATGCTATAGATTGCCCCCCAAATGCCTTCCAAACTGTATGCAACGCTCCAAGTTACCACAATGCTCACAGATGTACCCAGGTTGTATGCAAAAAGTGCATTGTTAAACCACATCAGGTGGGATGGGAGGGGGTAAAAACCCAAGCATCATAATTAAAAATGAAATCATGAAACGTTACCTACAACGTTATGTTGTAGGGGGAAAAAAAATAAATAAATAATAATAATAATAATAGGGTCCTGGTTATGACGTAAGGTACGACACAGATCTAACACAGAAGCATAATTCACCTGTTAGAATGACTTATTCACCTTACGTGTCTGTCTGGACTGTGGGAGGAAGCTTGAGTTCCCACAGGCAGAACATGCCAACTCCATGCAGAAACACCCCAGGGAATGATAATACTAACCTCTACACCAGCCTGACACTCTGCTGCTATAACACTCATTCCAAAATGTTAAAATCTGCTCCTAGATAAATATCCTCTGTGTTAAAATAATTAAAGATTAAAACTAAACATTTATAAACACGCCAAAACTAACCAAATTTATTTAAAAAACACCCTGAAATCAAAACAAAAATCAAAATGTAATTAAAACTTATTTAAAAAAAAAATTGAAATATACAAATTCTGCATGACTAACTCCAACGTCTCCGAGATTTTATTTCCACTTCTTTGATGCTTATTTAAGTTGTGCGTAAATTCGTCACCTCTGCACACCCACACATGTACTGTGTTATACTGTGTTATACATACATTTTACGAACCAGCTGAGACTATGAGATTTTGGCCATTAGTGAAAACAGAATCAACAGTTTGACATCAAAAGAATGCAACAGGAAGCTTTGGTCAGGTGTGAGGAGCTGGATTAGAAGAAGTTCACCTTTTTATGGGAGTGAAGTAATTAGCAACTGACATACAAAAAACACAAAAGGAGAATAGACTGCTCAAAATAATGTTAAAACCATCACCTCCTATTACAGAGTATGCATGGGTTACGAGGGAAAGGATAACATGAATCAGACTCCCCCCATGTACCTCGTGCTCTTTTTCTTGCAGGACAAGAACTATATCCCCAGGTTCAACGCCAGGTGCCTGGTCAGCTTCTCCTCCAAAGGTAATTTTCTGGCCATGCTTCATGCCTTTGTCCACATGCACCTCCAGAATCTTCACCTCCTTCACGACTTTCTTGCCCTCGCATTTTTTACAGCGGTCTTTCTCACTGATCACCTCACCTGGGGCAGATTAAATAAAACACAGGATCAGAGATCTGTGCAGATCAATAAAACACGCAAGTGCTTAGTCATGGTTTACATCACTGTGGCACTTACCCTCTCCATTACAATCAGTACACACTGACTGCATCTGTTGGACCATACCCGGGGCCAGCTGTCTGATCATGATGCGCATGCCACGCCCCCTACACGCCGTACACTTTTGTACAGCACCCGTCTTGCCTCCCTGCCTGTATTCACACAAAGCCACAGATGGATTTGTTGTAATAACCAACAAATATCCCAGGATTAAAACTGTTAATATCTAAACTATCAAGCAGAAATAACAGCAAGATGTTGATTATACTACTCACCCATTGCAAGTGCTACAGAGTACATTCTTGCTAAGTTGTAGTTTAGTTGTTTTTCCATTGTAAAGGTCCTCCAGTGAAACCCTACAGAAAAAAAACATGATATCAACTGATGCAAGATAAAATAGTTGTGCTGCACATCAAGAGCAATTTTAATTAATTGCAAACACAAAAACATTAAATCAATTTCATCTGAGTTTCCAAGCTAGGTCTTACTTGAGTGGATGGACCATGTCTTCTCCTCTCCTCCGACCTCCATTCCTGGATCGACTGCTCTGTCCACCCATGAAGCCAAAGAGTCCACCTCCAAAGATGTGGGAGAAGATATCGTCCATCCCTGGGCCACCCCCGCCACCTTCCCGCAAGCCTTGTTCTCCATAGCGATCATAAAGTTCTTTCTTTTCAGGGTTAGTTAGCACCTCATAGGCAAAGCTGATTTCTTTGAACTACATTTTGAGAAGACCAGAAACGGAGACAAGACAAAAAATAAAATAAAATTAACTGGACGAAGGGAACGGCCTGTTTCAAAATGGCTTTTGGGATTTGACAAAACAATTAACTGACCCACTTAGATCCAGCCACACATACAGTCTGGGGTTCATTTTAGAACCATTAAATAAAAATGTGTCTTAAGCTTATGGAAAGCAGACACCAATCAACTAAACTGGTGAAAAATAAATAACACTTGGGATTTTCCTTTGGCTCCATCTAAAACACCCGAGGGGGACAGAAGTCTTGGGTACAGTTTCAGCTCTCCAAAACATAAGACTTCAGAGCAAATTCACAGCAAATTGATTACCTGTCAAAACAGTAACTCAAAGTTTCAACTGACCTATACAAACTTTACCAACACTCTTAGGTCTCCAATAAAAAAAAAAATTAGAAAGAAAACTAATAGTTAAAAAGAATAACATCTAGCTTCCATTTGCTTTGAAGATAAAATGTGACGTTCAGCATGAGTTACAAGTTAATCTCACAGCCAGTGTAAAGGATATTCTCGGTAGGACACACCATTTCCAAAACTCAAATGCTTTCATTATTATGAACACTGCCTCCAGGCTTAAGACTCTAAAGTTGCCATTTTCCTGTTGGCAACAATTTCCTGCTGAGAAAATCTCTCACTGCCATATTGGGGATGATGAAAGAGAGGCTTGTAATTCCCCCCCACACCTTTCAATAAACATTCCAAAATCTACATTAGAAACTAATGCGAATGTTAAGCACAGCTGTGGAAAGGGCTCTTCCAACTTCAGCTCAATGTTCAATAACAATTTAAACCCTTAATGAAATGTAAAGGCTTAAAGCGAAATCACCACAAGGCAAAAGTAAAACTAAAACGGGAAGTAACTCCTGTCATAACAGGACTGAAAGATACATTAAAGCTTCAGATACACAAAATACTAGGCACATCTCTATGAGAGAACATGTTCTCTATGTTTAAAATGTTTTACTTAAACATTTTAAACTATTTTTCTTCTTTAGTTATACATAACACTGATAGCAACACATTGCACTTTATCCAAAGGACTAATTTTAATAAACATCCAAAAAACAAAAGAAAGAAAATCTGCAAATCAATAAACGAAACAGAGTAATTAAGTACACATACATTAGAATTTGGTGCATAAAATGAAAACAGACTTTTTAGCTTTTTATTGTTTTCCCAATCACGTTTTTTAATTTCAAACATAATTAAAACAAACATAATCGCATAACTCATCTGGACATATGATGACCAGCTCCACTGTAAACCAGGTGGAGGCTGCCACGGAGGAGTTACCTTATCTCCAGAATTAGGGTTCTTGTCGGGATGATATTCTTTTGCGAGTTTCCGGTATGCCTAGACAATAACAAAAAACAGAGATAACTCCATTAGCTAGCAAGTTTTACATTGGGCATGCGTTGTTTACGGGAAACTTGCGTCGACATGACTCCAACACACATGAAGGAAGCTTATCTACGGTTTACGCAATCACACGTGCCTCCCTCCCCGAACAAACCTGGCCGGCCACGCACTTTCTGTCTCGGCTTTAAAAAAATCATTTTCTCCCAACAATAATCCATAACTGGTTTAGTAGCGACGACTGCTATTCACCATTTCCACGCACCCATCCCCGGGAATTACCCTTTAGTGAAAAAAGGCAACTCAAAATGTCTGACAATTTCAGTGCTAATGCTTCTAAGCTAATTAGCATATCTTCTCGCCAAGCACGGACGGGGTAACGATAACGTTTAAGATGAAAATATGACAGCGTAATAAAGTTATCCGATAATGTGCTAATAAACAAGAGGTCGGTGAACATCATTTTAGTCTAGTCTAGCATGGCCAGTTAAAAAAAAACATCACACGCCGGTTGGGAGAAAAAAAACCCCAACCAAATTTAAAAAAAAAAAAACAAAACCGCTGAATAAATATCAAACTTGGATTCTTCGGCTCATTTTGATCACTACGTGTTAGGAATCTATTCCCACCGTTTGTCAAACACAAAATCAAGGACTAGTTTGGCTGGTTTCGCGACAAACACTTAAGCTAAAGCTAGCGTGAGGTCAATCGTTTGATGCGTACGAGCTAGCCTTGGTTTCGGTTGACCTTTTTCACATTAACAAATTGAAAAACATACGTTTTCCTAGTCGATCGTAGCTAAACTGTGAAAGAAAAATAAAACATTTATTGAACTCATAAACGACACAGCCCGACTGTCACATGAATATCCAGGCCGGTCAGCCTGATTCACTGCTAATGTTAGTTAGCTTCGCATAGCAACGCATTTCCTGATTGAGGCACTTTTAAGACTTTGAAGCTTAAACGCAATATATAATCCCGCAAATTATCTCCCGTGTATTTACCTTTTTCAGCTCATTTTCAGTTGCAGACGGAGACACTCCGAGGATGTCGTACAATTTCGTGTCGACAACATTCGACATGGTGTTGCTGTTGATGTTGCTTCGACAGGAGCTGGATGGACAAAGAGAGAAGGAGCCGGTGGAAAATGTTTGGCTCGCCTCGTGTCTCCATTTCCGGAAAGTCAGACCCGCCGCGTGTCCGCTGGTGCCCCCTGGCGTGGATGTGCTTGATGACTGATGAGCTTACACACGAGAGTAAACACTCGATTTCCTTTTCATTTTTCTTCTTCTCTTATTTATTCATTCATTCATTTATTTATTTTAGCAAATATTAATCATTTAATTAAAGTTAATTTAGACAAAGCTTGAACAATTTCTTGCCATTTTATAACTGGCCCTATAGTTACACCTTCACATATAAAAGTTTAAACTCAGTTTATGAGCTCAAACTGCCATCCTGTTTTTACAGTCTGTTAATGAAAAGCGAACTTTCTGTTTCTCTTTATGCTCACTGAATCTTCTTCTTTTGGCCGCTCCCTTTAGGGATCACCACAGCAGATCATCTGCCCCCATGTCACCCTCTTCATAGCATCCTCCTCTGTCACATCAGTCTTCCGTATGTCATCCTCCACTATATCCATAAACGTTATCTGTTTTCATCCCACCTGGCAGCTCCATCTTTAACATCCTTTGTCCAGTATATCCACTATCCTTCCTCTGCACATGTCCAAAATATCTCAGCCTTGGTTCTCTAATTTGTCTCGAAAGCATTGGACTTGAGGTCCCTCTGATATACTCATTTATAAATAAATCTGAGAATCTTTCAATTCTGCCACTTCAGCTCGATCTCCTGTTTTTTGTCAGTGACACCATCTCCAAGCAATCCATCATAGCAGGTTTTACTTTGTAAACCTTCCATTTCCCTCTTGCTAATATCCTTCTGTCACACCTCATACTCATCTCCACCCACTCCACCCTGCCTGCAGTCTCTTCTTCAGCTCTCTGTTGCTTTGGATGGTTGATCCCAGGTATTTAAACTCATCCACCTTGACTACCTCCACTCCTTGCAGACAAATTATGGTTGATTTATTATTGGGCCCTTTTATTTATTATGGAATACATTGTTTTTGAATGGTTGCATCTTAGTACAATCCAAACCATGTGATTATCGCACACTCACAACATGGGAATATAATCTTGTACTTGACCACATTAGCACTGCAGATATTTGCAATTTATTTTAATTCGTTTTAAACCCGATGCTAATTTAAGATGTCGGTCACGATTTAGAGTGGCATTGAGTTTGTTATGCCTGCACAGAAATTCAATTTTGAAGTCAGTTAATGAATTCAACCTAATAGCGAGTGTCTCAATAATTAAGATCTCTCCACGTCTAACTTGTCTTCATTTTTCATGTCAAAGATCCATTACTGTTGTGGCATATTATAACCTCAGATGTCTCATCCAGCATTAGGACCGGAGGGGGATATGAGAGCTTGTCCGTGCAAATTGTCTTGGGTGTCAGTAGATCTCCTCGTCCCGTCTCACTCCTCTTCTGAGAGGCCATGAACAGTGCAATAATACTTCGACAACAAACTCATCCAATCAGTCACACCCTGTTAATTATAAATGCTTATTACGTCATTCATTGCATGTACTTATACACGTGTTGTATACTCTTCTGTGTGTACTACGTAGCAAAAGGATAAACTAGAACAATTACTGTCTAAACAGGTTTATTACCACAGTCACAGAGCATTACTCCAATCCCAGAGAGGACATCTCAGCTTTTCAATTTCATGTCATTGGTTCTCTTCCAGATCATACGAGTGGACATTGATCCGATTTAGAAACAAAATAAATGTTTTTGATATTTAAATTAGACACATTAAATTCTTTTTTTGGTACTTTATTTATGTTACAATGATTTCTAACTGATTTTATTTGCCATTTAATTCACCCGCAATCTGTCATATGTCTTAGTTTATATGCGTATAAAACACTTCTTGATGTCCAGATTTGTGTCTTTAGCTCGAATCTTATCAATCTAATAAAAACGCATGCTGAATGCAGTGTGTCTGCAGGTGGCGCTGCTTTTTTATTATTGCATGCGTTTCTCAGTGATGTTAATGGTGACCTTTGGCACTTATTATTGTAAAAATACAAACAGATAGTATTTTGTTTTCACATGAAACACAATTTGTAATGGAATTTCCCACTATGTTATGCTGTGTTATAGAAATTCTACTACTCTATGCAGTACTGTGGAAAAAAGTAACAGCCATGTGCTGTTAATTAAATGCACTTGGTTAAATGTTCATCAGCAATAGTGACCACCTAAAAGCAGAGGTTTTGGCAGATCCCTGCAAAAGAATGGCTGAACGTGAAAAGAAACAACATGTTGCAGTGGCTCAAAGTCCAGACCTCAACCTGATTGAAATGCTGTGGCGAGACTGCAAGAAAGCTGCGTATAGAAACGAATACCTGCAGACCTCAATGAACTCAAACAAAGAATAGTGGAACAAAATTCCTTCACAAAGATTTTAGACTCATAATGTTCAGAAAATGATTACTTGCTGCAGGCTGTACTTAGTTTTTCACAGTACTGCATACTTTGGCTGACTGTTATTTGTAGTGAGCTGTGAGACTTTGTGAAATCTGCTCTACTGTATCTCTATTGTAGGGCCTGCCTTACGATATAAAGCGCCTTGAGGTGACTGTTGTTGTGGTTTGGTGCTATATAAATAAAATTGAATTGAATTGTTCAAGAGTGATTTCAGCATAATGTATTGATTAATATCATTAGATTGAATCCCGAGACAGCACGTGTAGGTGTCACTGTGTAGGTGACCAGCCCAATGCATAAAGGAATTAGCATCAATAACGGCCAAATACTTTAAGACTGTGTCATAAGCTTTTAACAAGGCAAACACATCATGACAGCAAAGCAAATAAGAGAGCAAGTGAGAGACAGAGTGAGAGGCAAAGAGAAAATAATAATCTGTAAATATTAATTAAGCTTAATTGGTCTTTGGTGGTCAGGAAGCAATGCATTATGCATTCCACTCAAAAAGTCTTTTAAGCACAACAGATGATGGAAGTGGAATTTGTCAGCTTTTGATTATTTGTGTTCAACTTAAACTCAATCTTAAGGTTCGCACAACTCAGGGAATAAAGTATCCCCACAGCCCCTTTTGCATCAAAGCAAACCAAAACACTTTGCATAGGCTGTGTCTGTTCTGCCTGCATGTCACAAAGTGAATCTTGTCCTGACATCTCCAGCCTGAGCAGAGTTACTTTTATGTTTTTTTGGTTACAGCGAACAGAAACACTCACACGGTGAGGTGAATAAGCTCTCATTTAATTCAACAAAATGAAATTATACAACTAGTGGTTAAAATCATAATTGAGTCCCAAGTAGGCTACATGTCTGTCACTGTAAGGAAACAGGTTGTGCTTGTTTTACACACTCGATTCATGGGGACACAGAGGAATTACATTTTCTCCTTTTAAGGGTAGGGGTTTGGAGAGGCATGGCAGAGAGAGGCTATCTTGATTCAAGCCAGGGCTCACATCCAAATATTTATATCTGATAAATGATCACTCAAAGTCTGAATCCTCTTATGCTATAAAACTCACAGAGCAGAAATAGTCTTTTTCTGTATTTTTTAGCAAAATAAGACAGTCTCTTCATGTGCTCTTCCTGAGGAGAGACTGAATGAAGTGTACCTTCTGTATATGTGAGGTAACCATGAAAAATACATAATTATTATAGTAATATCACATAATTATCATCGCCATCTTCATATTTAGTTGATCATTATTGATAACAACAACTTCTTCATCTTCCACCTCATCATCAACACAACATGTCATGGATGAGTCACCTTCATAAAATCGTCTGAGCAACAAATAAAAAAGATCAAAGAGTTAAAAGCCAAGCATCATCGTGAGGCTGGATACATACTGGTCTTAACGGTATAGTACACTGACAAAAATAAAGACTCAAATAAATTATTAGAAGACACACTATCGATCATATATCATATATCTGTGCATGGCAGGTGAATAAATGCAAAAAGTCAGTCTACAACATCTCTCCAGGTTTCTCTCTTTCTGTGTTTGAGTGGTAACCCAACAGAGAGAAGTCTGGGTCTACATGCGAGAACATTCTCCTAGAAGTCTCTGATGGAAGGAGATGTTTATTGAGTATAAGACTGCAGAGACCAGATGTCTCCACACTTTGTGCACTCCGAATCATTCAGTATCCTGAAGAACAGAACCAGTAGTTATGTCAGATTTTTTTCCCCACTTCCTTTTAGTTCTTTTGATCCATTCTTCCCAAACCTACACATGAGAATGAGAGGAGTCCTCGAGATTTAACCCACAATACCAGTGCTTGAAGACCAATGGCAGAAGAGCACGCAGGAGTAATCAGTTTGGAATTATAGTCCTCCTGTCTTGCATTCTTTAGATGATGGACCTGCAAGATCTGTTTCCATTTCTTTTCTTCCATCTAAAAGTCCATGGACATCGAGCGCTGTTGTGGATCAACTATGGTGGTACTGTTACGAGCACTGTTGCCACGAACACTGAGGGTTCCACAGGCTCCTCCCATCCCACCAATACCTCCAGCGATGCCACTAGGCCCTGCCATGCTCATGGCTCCTGCCATACTCATTCCACCACCCATCCCACCACCCATTGCCACTCCTCCCGTTATACCCACCGCTCCACCAATTGCTCCTCCTGCAATCCCTGATGCTCCTCCTCCTCCCATTGCTCCTCCACCTGCGGCTCCTCCACCCACTCCTGTTGCACCGCGCCCATAAATCTCACATGTGGTCTCCTCTGTGACTCGGTCCTCAATGACCTGCTGGTCGCAGTCGTGAGTCTGTGAGTGCTGCTTGTAGCCATAGCAGCTCTTCTTATAGCTGGCTGTGGAGTTGAAAGTCTTCATGGGTGGCGGCTTGGAGAAGTCGTTGTGGTAGGACAGCTCCATCGAGCTCAGAGTGGTGCGGCTGTGTTTCATACTGCCACCACCAGTAGCCACAGAGCCTTGTGAACCACAGTGGTGCTCGTGGACGCAGCGGGACATAGTGGAGGAGCGCCGCATCTTGTGGAAGCTGTCCAGCTCCTCAGAAAGGTCAGCTAAGTCAGAGGACATCTCTTTGT